AGAAAGGAAATGAACAAGAATGTTCTTGTTACTTGGCTTTCGGTACCACTTTGTCAGGTAACCGCTACTTGATAGGTTTATTTGAACGGTCAAAAACCTGTCCATCCAGCAGCTAATGGCTCTTTTAAAGGAGTGCCTACACTGTTCGATTTTCAGATGGTCTGGGAAATATTTCGCGCAAATAAGGTGGTTGGCATTGGGACAGCGATTGGCACCAAGCCTTGCCATTGTGTTTATGTCAAAGATAGAAGCCCCTGTTCTCGATCTCCGGCCACTACTCTACTGCAGATATGTAGATGACTGTTTTGTCGTCTTCTCTATGCAGGAGGAGATGTACAAATGCTTTGAATTTTTGAACGAGCAGTCTAAGTGCATAAAGTTTATCCGGGAGAAACCGAGAAAAAACTGGCTTCCGTTTTTGGACGCTCAAATAAACCTATCAAGTAGCGGTTACCTGACAAAGTGGTACCGAAAGCCAAGTAACAAGAACATCCTTGTCCATTTCCTTTCTTCCCACCCTTCACACACTAAGAGGGCGCTTGTGAGAAATATGCTTCGAACAGCCACCTCTGTGTGCACTACTAGGGAACTAAAGGAAGAATCGCGCGACTTGGCCCGGCAAATAGCCATCTCCAATGGCTACGAAATAGTAACCCCACGAAATAAGTTTAGAAGGAGAACGACGCGCTCATGCGAAACACTTGGCCAAAAGAAAGTCCCGTTCATATTGCCTTTTATAAGCGATGAAGTAAGCGTAGCTATAAAACGATGCTTAAGAAGGGCAAGTCTAGAGGAACCGGTAGCGATAGTTGAAATACCACCGGCTACTCTACGTCGCCAGTTAGTTCGCAACCGCCTGTATGACCGTCTGTGTGAAACAACAAATTGCGTAATTTGCCCTTACGGCAGGGACGGTGATTGCATGAGTTCAGGTACGATATACCTGATTTTTTGTAATGATTGCAGAGATGAATATATTGGCGAAACGGGCAAACTTTTATGTATCCACCTACAACACATGGCAAACAGCTACACACCTACATGGCAAACGAAAACTAAGACGAAGCACCCCACTAGGCACACAAAGGATACAAAAGCACAGCGGAGACGATTTTGAAGCCATATAAAAGTGAATATTCTTACACAGGAGACTAAAACACCAGCGCGAAAACTTCTTGAGCGTTTTTGGATAAATGCCAAAAACCCTACAATGAATAGCAGGAATGAATGCCCGGAGGTCATACGCGACCTGATCCCGTACGTTCGCATCGATTTTTGATGTGGGATGGTGCAGTCATCAACCATATGCAACTATAATCAGCTGTTCTAAACTTCTTCATTGGAAGTCACGTAAAAAGTGGTGGGTTTTTCGAGAAGCTGTTGTTGTATTGTGTTTCTCTATGGAAGTAAATGTATGCTGTTTAACAACCTCGCGAATGCTGAACAAGAAAACGGCGCATTCATATTCCAATGCCGAGGTTAATTGATAGTCGATCCTGGGAACTATCTCAGCATCACTGAAATGACAAAATATTTCGGGATCAAGAAGAAGCTAGAAGTGTCAGAAGTTCTAAAGTGAAAAAACTAAAGCTTTGGAAAGGTAATTCATAAGTTTTTAGAGTCCAATGGCCAAATCCGTGTGGCTGCCGCGTTTGGTTGAGAATTGGTTCGTACTGCACTTGCTATGAGCTGGTGTAGTCTCAACGGTACCGTCTATCTAATCCCCACCCATTAAATAACCCTGCTCTCTTTTTCTGCACTTCTCGCGTCATAGTTCAGTTCTTTTACTTTTTTTTGGCCACTTCCATATTTTGGTCTTCTATCCTCTAAGTCCTTTCAAATATTCCCCTGTACGTAGCGAAAAAACTCATTCGTCATCCCACCATGGTGTTATTGGCGATTGATAGTCGATTTCGCAACATACGTGCAGTGTTCTTCTATCTATCGACTCCACACGATTCACCACATCGATTTGAAATCAAATGACAATCAAGTACTGTCTCTTGGCAAATGACGGACCTTAGCGGGTTGTCGATAACCCTTGATAATTTTCCAATAACGAAAATAGCTAGAGACCTAAAGACTGGACGAGCGCATGGAAAGGATCACTTTGGGAAAGAATTCGTCTCAATTTTCTTCGCTCAATTGGAAAGATTTCGGTACAACAAAAAATTCTGGTATCTTTAACGCAGACACGGCAGCAACGATGCGCTCGCCGATGCCATGGTGTCATAAAGCTAAAAGATAAAACTCTAGGCGCTGTTCAATCCCTGAGTGATGCGCCATGCATTCGACTTCATTAAGCATCGTTTGGAGGTGATTGAATGCCTTTACAATAACTCGCGTTGGCCTACCTCTCGAACCAGTGCTGTTATCCTCACAGACAGGTCTGGTGCAAATTTGCCGACCCCGGAAGGATAGATAGCTTGGTGGGACATGGGCACGGGGATCGATTTCACGTGTGCGTTGCACGATGCCACCGGCCACTGTGCCACAAGCCGTGGTATCATGTTGGATGAAATCGTACTTGTTCAATAGATCTTCGCTGCTTGAAACGCGAGTTTAGAAAAACAAGAGGAAGGGATTATTTTAACCTCCAAAGGTCTAACATCTTACTTTGATTCGACAACTAAACCTACATCTTGGCAAAAATGCAGAGTTTTCATTTCATTTAATAAAGAACTCCGTAAGCGGAGATATATTTATTCAAAGGCTTAACGACTGTTGACCGTATATGCATTGGTTTAAGTGTGCATAGTCAGCAATACGTTGATCGTGCCTGCCGCCTTTATCACCTGTCGTCCCTTCGATCGTTGAGTAACTCGAAAGGGCACCAGTAAACGAAGTACAATTATTTTGGTCTTGTAACTAGCGAAATTTCTGTGGGTTTTATCGACGCACTTCCCAGCCTATGCAGTTTCGACTATAACTGCTACTGTTCTCTCTTTAAGGTCTTCTTTTATCGCCTGTCTGCATTGTTTTGCAAGTTCGGACGTTAGTTGGCGGCTGCCTGCAGCTCATGCGATTCCACGCTGACGTATCAGCTAGTGTTTCTGAAGACAGAGGTCTCTTGGTGACTTTCGAACTCTCAGCTGTCGTATCGCTAAAATGTCGAATGAAATGATCGTATTCTTTGTCAATATTACAGAGAACGGCACCTTCGCAACAGCCAACTAGTGAATTGAATAAGCCCCAGTTTATAGTGATTGCTGGAATTCGTTTTTGAACTTAGTGGCTTTCTCTGCTTTCCGCGAAAAATGGAATCTTGCACGAAGGAGGCGATGGTCAGATCCTGTGTAGAACTTCGAGATAACAGCTAAATCAGTTAGGTAGAACCGATTTACTATAATGTGATCGGTCTATTTCGTTATGCTACTCTCTGTTGGGAGACACTCACGTCCTGCACTGAGAGTGAACCATCTGGAATTGCAAATTACCATGGAGAGTCTTGATCTCGTACTCTTTCCATTTCACTCCGTGCGTCCCAATGTGACGTTTTTCAGAAGTTACTCTTCCAGCTTTAGCTTTAAAATCTCCAATGATGACGTTAAAGAATGTATGGCGTTCTCTGCAAAACCTCCAAATCCATATATAACCATACAGAACGCTTTGACTTCGTCTTCATCATAGCTTGATGCCAGTGGGTAGTTAACGAACAATGTCTCCGCCGTATCGATTCACATCTCTGCAACCGTGAACCCATTCCATTCTAATCCGCGGGTCCCAATGTGACGTTCTTCAGATGTTCTTCTTGGTCTGATCTTGGCCTTGAAATCTCCAATGATGACTTTGAAGAATGTGTGGTCTTCTCTGTAGAACTTCTCCAAGTCCACATAGAAGGCTTCGGCTTCTTCTTGGTCACAGGTTGATGTCTGCGCGTAAACGACAAAGGTTGTCAAAGCCGGAATTGATCCACGTCTTTTTAATCATAAACGTCCGATTCGGCTGTTGAAATGAATCGAGTTCCTGGCCGAACTCGTGCTGACGTCACCGACTCATCCATTGTCGCATGTTCCGAGAAATAGTTCTTTTCATGTGTCATAGACGGCGTTGAATAGGTGGCGTCTTCTCGTCTCAGCCAGTCCGATGACGTTGTATCTCATCCATTTTTGTCTGCATGATCAGGTCCTCTATAGAGGAATCAGATACAAATCAACGTATACTATAGGCACAAGTCGTCACCATAGTTCTACCAGATTTAGGCACCCCAGAATGGCCCTGAGATTTCAACAGCCTCTCCGTACTCGTCCAACCAAACACTGTAGTACCGCGAGCTCTTTCGGAGTTAATGGAATGAAGCCCACTTATTTCACTACGCCTGGCGTTTGATACCCACATATTGCTTACTGAGCTCCGAACGATGGAACTAGGTATGCTTGTGGATAATTTGTCAGTCTATCGCAAAGTAAACGAAGAGGTTGTTTGTTGGAGGCGACCCCTAACCACCTTCCATGTACTTCCTTGTTACTTGATGGCAAAATTTTGGATCAACGACCTCGTTTTTGGTCATCAAGAAAGTAGCGATTTATCGCAAAACTCTAGAGAGAATAGACTAAACCGACATTCGGCATTCAGGGATGTTCACAAAGAAGACAGTAGTCCTCAAGCAGCAGCCGAATCCACAACGATGGAAGCGAGGAAACGAATCGAATCCAATCAAACGGTACTGGTATTAGCGTACTAGATGCGAAGACGGGTTGCGAAAAAGATCATCGGAGTTCTCAACCTCTCAACCGTCCCCCCACCGCTACTCGAGAAACTACTGTCTGTTGCTTGCCGCGGTTCACGAGCTTACGACGGAAGAAGAGCGCCCTGTGGCGACTCGTCCGTGCGCCCCACTCCACTCGGGTGAACCCCGCCCACGACAGTCGGGCCGTCACGCCAGCGCTGAGTCATTTGTTATGCGCCATCGATACAGGTTCGTCTTATTGTTGACATGTGATGTCTGGGACATCCGTCTTCAGCTCTGAACACGTTCAGGGTCACACAAGTGAGCCAGGATGTCGTTTTGTCGAAGAGTGACACTGGCGTGCTCAGTGCTTATCGGCTCAGTGGCTGTGATTATCGGCGTCGTGGTCCTTACCGTTATCGAAGGCATTGTGAACAAGACCGTGCTCTCGGTCAGTTTGTTTCTCTCGTTTTTCACAGTTTACTGGACATTTGTAAAGTTCTCCTCTTCCAGAGAGATTACATTGGGTTCGAGAATTTCAATGATTCTAGACGTCTGAATCCAATGACCGAGAAATGGATTCGTCCAGCATATTTTATGGAGCTGCAAATCTGGATGTTTGACTTGGTGAATGAGGCAGAAGTTCTCCGCGGAGCAAAACCTAGAGTGCGACAAGTAGGGCCGTTTACATTCATGTAAGCTTTTCCTAGTTTGAATTGTGGTTTTGGCGCTACAAATCGTTGGTTATTTCGTAGAGATGTCGCTTTCATTTATCCAGAGAGCATCAGTGGAAGTCTCCTTATCAGTTTGTAAGAAACGAATCGAGAGTTTTCTATCGAAATAATCACGTTTATGTCTTCAATGATTCGCTTTCGTGTCCGGAGTGTATCCTTGGTCGAAGAGTTGTCATTCCAAATGTTGTTTTTCAAGTACGTATTTTTCATTTGGAGAAAATTCTTACATCTATTGAATGCTTCTTCACTTCAGAAGTTGGTGGACTTCGCTTTGCAAGGATTTCTACAAAAGTTTGTTGTTACAGCTGTTTTGGCTGCAGTTAAAACGGAGTCACCTTTTGTTAGTGTGAGTTTCATGTGATTCGTGTACGTGAAGAGTCTTTCATGTCCAATATGATGGCCACCCATCACTTCTCATAAGCATTTCAGACTACCGTAGAGGAGGCGTTGTTTAAAGGTTACCATGACCCACTTTTGGACTATATTTGTGGACACAAATGGCTCCAAAACCTGTGCGATATTGTCAAAATTCCGAAAAATATTGGATTTTTCTATGGGGTATTTATATATAACCATACTGATGTAGTGATATGTTTGCTTTTTCAATTCTATATTTCTGTGGCAACTCTGTTCTTTAGCAAAACGGAACCGACGATGGTCTATATGAAGTCTCTACTGGTCTAGACGACGCCTTCGGAATAAGCAAGGTTCTTTTTTCTTTGTTTTTGGATACAAAGAACCATTCAATGTGTTTCACACATAACCGAAACCTGCTAAACTACTTGAAAGCTAAAAGGTCTCCATTGGGATCAAAAGAGGCTTAAATAACTATAACATGATCCTTGCATGAGGTGATATCTGCATGAATGTAACCGCATTGTTCTGGGGAACAAAGTACTTAACTTATAAGCCATTAGGCACATTTCTTGTGGAGGCCGCCCGAAACTCTGCCTAGTTTGCCACTGTTCTGGATGTTTATTAAAATCGGCGCATACGGTCTCTTTTGTCTCCTAAAAGTGACTGAGTCACTTCTATTGAGCTGTTGCGGCAAATTTAATTTTTTTCCCCTACGTTCAACCGCATTTCCGTGAACCTTTGGTAAGGTTTTGCCAGACTGGCAAAACGTTATTTCGGTGTTTCTCTGCTTTTTTTGGAATAAATCTTAGGCTTGAATTATGTTTGATGCAGGCAAATTAAGCTTCATTTTCGATTGGGTGTTCGTTGAGAGTGAACCTATTGGACCTCTTTTGCTACTCATCGATAATGAATCTAAATTGGACCGGTGGATCTGGATAAGGGCGGTCACGATGAGTCACTACTGACGCTGCTGGCAGTGAAAAGTCAGAGTGTATTAGCCCATGACCGTTGGATTTTCATTGGTAATCACTTCAAACAAGGGCAAGTTCTGCTGTTTAGATGCATAAAGCCAATCCATTTTTATGGATCATTTGTGGATGGTACACGGGTTGCAGTTGTGAAAGAGAACAATAAATTTAGAAAAGAAAAATGAATAATGAGGAACGACGACTACTAAAAAGGTGGTCTGTGCTTTCATATGATAGTTAAACTGTCACGATACAGAGAAAGCGCCACGGGATTCAAAATCAGGCAAAGAGAGATTTTTTTATAATTTGTGCAGTGTAGACAGCGTGTTGTCGTGGATGCAGTTGAACAGAACAACTGCATTGCGAAAGAACAAGCTGTCGAATGGATGTAAAACTAGCGAAGAAATCTTTTTACGGCAGAATGAAAGGCTCGGAATTTGCGCGTTGAGACCAATGGTTACGGTCAGTTGTGCATCATGCAAAAAGTCGATAACATTCAAAACGAGGATTTTATTTTGCGTGTAATCCATATCAGTAATTGAGAAACAGCAAAGATAATTGGTTCGCGACGTTTCAAGGTGTACACATACAATAACATGACGGTGATGCCCGATTCCACGTGGGATTCAGCTGATGCGCGTGAAATTCGGGGTACTGATGGCCAGCTCTTCTCTCCTTTCCTTCAAGAGAACCAGGACCTGGAAATTTTTGTAGGATCCATTTGCAGGCATGTGGTTTCGAAGTTTCTGATAATTTCAATCTTTATTTTCAAACAGTTCCCATTTCTTTTAAGGACAGTTACTTTGGAATTTCGAGGAAAGTCGGAGTTTCGAGATGTCGTGGCATTTCGCTACGGTTTCCCATCTCATATTTTTGATCCTAGTATTGCAGTAAATCGTGGATTTTGTAACAAAAATAACACGCCAACCTATTTCAACTCCAGTATTCAGATTCGTATGTTTATGGGCGCAATTAGTTTATTGTTCATAAGTTCATCTCTGTTATTTAGCTTTCAGCTGGCTGTTTGCCCAAAGGATTTCTTGATATTGGGAGATGTTTACCAGGAAAGCCACGTGTTTATTTATCACAGGCACACTTTTTAAACACACATGACGAGGTTATTATATTCATTGTTATTTATTCTTCTATGTATATGGACGCTTATATGTATATATAGGTACATATACTCACATTTACTAATAGAAACTAAAAAAGCTCTGGGCGTTGACTAATCCCTGAGGGATGAGCTGTACATGCCACTTAACTAAACACCGTTTAAGGTGATTGAGTGCATATCCGACGTATACAATGACTTGCGCTAACCTGCCGATGTACCAAATCAGTCCTGCTATCACCTGAGATAAAATTAGTACCAATTTCTCTGACTCCACAGGGATAGACAGTTTCATGAACCCAGGGAGCAGGATCGAACCAAAGACCGTGTGTAAATTGCAGATCACCTATAACCACTGCTACCCGCAACTCTGTGTAGGTATGTATGTATATATACCTACTTGAATACTTGGATGGCCCGTCTTCACTAACTGTGCGACCCTCAGCTTAATTTCGATCTTTTCTGGGTTTTGTTGGTTTAGCCATTGTGGTTCTGTGGAATCCCGAGGTCAACCTGGCTAAGGTCTGCCCCAGATCGTCACCAGCATAAAGAGTCGTTGTGGATCAGAGGGAGATTTGCCATCATGCGACTAGTTTGATACCAGAGCGGGGGTGGATCCCGGTATTGGTTTACTTTTAGCTGGGCTTCCTGTTGGACACGCTGGACACCTCAGTTTGGTAGACCCTGTTGAGGGTATGAACCCCACCGCTGTACATCGCAGCCGGACACCTAGGAATACTTCCCAGCCACGATGAGGCGGTAAACTGCTATATGCCTATATATGTTCATATATGTATGTACATATGCATGTACATGTATATATACTATATATATATGTATATATGAATATATATATATATATGTATATATGAATATATGTACACGTATCTACTACACACATCATGTACGTGTGCATTATATATATATATATATATATATATATATATATATATATAGTGAAGTGAAGAAGAAAGAAAAGGAGCAAACTGTATACGGAAGTACTCGCAATGTGAACTCTAGATCATGTTACATGTAATGTATATACATTTACATATAATACGTTTTTGCTTTATTTTTCTTTAATGTACTTGGTAGTGAGAATTTCGAGTGCTTTCAGGTTCAGTCCTCTATCGATGGTATGGATATGCCAGATGAGAAAAATGACGATACATTCGTTGAAGTTGAACCTTTAAGTGGTGTTCCTATAAATGCAAGAAGAATAAGTCAAATTAATGTGGGAATGAGGAAAGGCAATCTCAGGTTACCGAATGCTCAATGTCTTCGTTTGGTTTCCATATGTTTTCAATTGATTTCGAATCTGTTCATTCACAGAATCACTTCAAATATGAGCAACGTAATCCTTCCTGTGCTATGGATGAACGAAACTATGTGGTTTGACAACGAAACCAAAACTCAACTGGAGCAACTTGTTTCAATAAAGTGAGTCCATTTTTATTCTCATACGTTCTACGGCTGAGAATGGAGGGTTTGTACTGTTATTTGAAGTTTGATTAATCAAGTAAAGGTCTGTAATGTTTTCGTTTCTCCTTTGTTATCGATACTACTGAACGTGCAGCTTTGCCTGTTGCTTTGGATTTTTTGCAATCCACAGTCCTTAGCTTAGTGACTACTGGAATTCTTTATAAGTACCGACTATTGGGATTCTGATATACCAACGACCACAAATTTTACTTAAATTGTGCCATTGTGTGAAACTTTATTGGAATGAACAGTTTTCGTAGGTTAAAGTGCTGAGGAAGACAAAGCCTTTATTGACTAAAGATATTTGCAGAAGAGTATTGTTTTTATCTGGAGTATTCTTGCTTACCATTGGCCTACTAATTTGGTTCGCGGTTATCGTCGTCTTTGTTGTATTCACTATACTAAAGGTGGGATTTTCTTTCCCGTCACTTTGAACCAAGTTCGTGGAAAGAAGGTAATTTGATACTTAAGAAAACTGGTGTAAGTTTGATAAATGTAAGTGTTTCATATGACAGACATTTTCTGTCTCCTGAGGGTTTCAGAATTAGGCAAACAGAATTTGCGGCAATGTAAACTTTTATCCTATGAGAATTACAACTGTTATAGTCGCAACTGTGATGTTCCCAGTCCTATTCTCTAGTGGTTTACTGCCTCGTCGTGAATGTATCCGTTCCCATGTGTCGTAAGTGCACAAGAGATTCAGACGAAAACTAGGGTTTACTATTCTAGGTTGGACATTTTCATCCAGAAGCCATGCTATATGTGAACCAATGCTATGACGGGGCGCTGAGAGCTATTCATGACATCTCTATCGTTAATGGGAATAAAAGATTTTACGAAAAGTTTGAGACTATTCGTGTCCACCGATTGAGCTAGCGGAACTCGCCAGATGGTTCTGACACGCGATAGGACGAACGGGGAAATCATTGATGCCCAACCAAATAACTTGGTGATCGATGATTAGCAGCGTTAAAAGTGTTGCAAAGAATTCCTAGAATTTTTATACAGCGTTGTAGCCATGTGTCTATCGATGTGAACGTTGCATAGAAAAGTAGGATTAAAACCAAACGAGTTTAATATAACGCGTATTTCCTAGCGTATTTTTCAGCATCGTCGTGAAGATGAGCAGGGACTACTACAAGATGGTGCGGCTGAAGGAGAAATCGAGGACATCTGATGTTTCCCTTGATTGGCATAATTTCATATTTTGTACATATAATCGACCTAATTCCATGAAGAGTAATTCTCGAGCATAATTTTGTAATGTTCGTCGTGAAGAATATACAGTTCTGTATTATAAAAAAAAGTCCCAATTAATTCCCACGACCGACTCTATTAACCTCGGTATTGATGGAGTAATTCAGTTTCCTTGATGTTATTTTATTTTTTATTTATAAACAAACCCAAGTTTTCGGCGGATTTCATCATTCCCAGAGCCTGGAAAGGCCAAGTTGACTGCAACCTTCCCAGCCAAACACCTGTGTCACAAAAGAGGAAATACAGAATAAATAATTCTCTGTCTAGTTATGGAGGTGTGGCTGGGTGCATTGCCACAAAGTTAACCTTTGCAGGCTCTGAGGATGGCGAAATCCACCGAAACGTTAGCTTGTTTATAAATAAGTAGTAAAGTAACAACTTCGTGTTCGATGTTTTTCTTCAATAAGCAGAAAAGCTTCGCGTCCGCTCATAAAACGGACACCGAATTAGATCCAAATACTTCCATGAATTTATTGTTGCGAATGTGTCAGGTTGTCACAAAACATTCTCAAGACCACTTCAGCACCTAAAGTGGCGTGCTTTGTGGTTTTACCATGCTTCTGGAACAAAAATTTGGCCTGGACCGTAAATACACATCTCGAACTTTTGCGATAAACTTTGTGTCTACACGCTTTATCCAAAAACGAGATGCGTATACTACCACAGCGACTTTCTAGACTTTAGGATCGCACGGATACTCTCTTTTAGCACTTTCTCTACTGAGGTTCACATCGTGGATGTTAAAGTTCGATAGTGCAGCGAATGGGTTATTATTGACGGTGACAGTTATACGGAAGTCGAACAACATGGTTTGACCGTCAAAGAATTCTCTGGAGTTAATTCTATAGGAATCTCTAATAACACTCTCAAGGTTCTGTAAAAGCTACGCAAACTATGTAGGGTAGTAGAATTCGACGGTTTCCAAAAGTTGAGTGGTCATTGTTCGAACTCCTGAAGAACAAACGTTGTTTGGCAAACTGTTCCAGCTATGTTAAATGTAATCCCGTTAATGTATTCGCGACGCCGCATAATTTCACGGCAACCGCACAAAAAGTAAGACTCATCCGCCGTTTAAAACCAACAAAACTGATGTTCTCGATAATAAACGATGGATCCTCAATACCGAGAGGACTTGGTTTGAAAACATTACGGAGCCCGAGGAGGGGCTTTGCTTTATCCATCCAGAGATATCTGTAGTACTACTTGCTACACTTTAGCACAGCTCACCACGCATTCCACCGGAAGAGCTTGTCCTTTCAAGGATCTGTGTTGCAGTTGTGTGTCGCCAGTTGCATGCAATAATCATGAACAATCATGACAATTCGAAATGGCAACTCAGTGAACTACTGGTCAAAGATTCAACTTTGCGTGCCCTACATAAGAGGTAACTGCAAATAGAAGAGGCTTTACCGTCTCATCGTGGATGGGAGGTATTCCTGGGTGTCGGGCTGCAATGTGTACCAGGAGGGATTTATACCCCAGAAGGGTTTCCCATGTTGACAAGAAGTCCGACGTTTCAATCAGGAAACCGAGCTAAGAGTAAACCAATACCACGATCCACCACCGTTCTGGTATCAAACTAGTCGTATGGTGGCAAACCTCCCTCAGGTCCACAAAGGCGGCGGCAGCCCGTGGTGGTGACGACTCGGGCATGCATTGGCCAGGCTGACCTTAGGAGTCCGGGGAACCACAGTGGCTAAACCAGCAAATCTCCGAAAAAATGGAGATTATGCTGGGGTCCGCACAACCAGTGAAGACGGACCATCCAAGTATCCAAGTAAGTTCTTAGTGAAAACCTAGCCATTACAGAGCTTCCGGACGAAGATGTTGGATTTCTCAACTTGTGTATCCATGCAGGAATATGAACGCCTGCATCTCAGTGACTAACTATCTAAACCACAATAGCGATAGAAAGCAGGGAAGCAGTACAGAAAAAGAATTGAAGTTAGGTAACACCTATGCGACGGCGTGGCTTCTAAAAAGTTCATATGTTGCGGACAATTTGACTAGTGTGACCTCTATAGCAGTCAGACGGTGCATGATTCTTTTGCTATCTAAGTAACCAAATAATATGGCTGTAACAAAAGGATGGAAATAGCGCTTTCGGTTTTGATCAAGCTCGGAGGGATGGGCTATGCAATCAATTTTACCAAGCATCGTACAGCCTATTGAACATATCTGGCCTATATAATGACTTGCGATGACCTGGCATCGTTTCCTTGACCACGCAGAAACGGAGGGCTTAGTGAGCCCGAAGTGTGGGATAGAACAACAAAGCGATCCATTGTCTACCCCAGGACACATCTAACCACTGCGGCACGCGTCCTCACTGTCCGTATAATATTATATTAATGTCAGGACGACTTTTAAGAGACTGGAATGCGTTCTCTTTCTTTATAAGGAACTTACGTTGCTGATGGACTTAGAGAGAAGACCATGCCCTGTCGTCCGAACGGTATGTGAAGCTTTCTCCCTTCCTGCGATCACTTTAAAACTGCTCAGCATGTGCAAGACAACATGTAGTTTTGAGCCGCCTAATACCATCGTTAAAGCACTCTTTCGTTATTCTGTCTTTACAAAAGGCAATGGATCGCCGATAGACTCATGGATTTCTGCCTGTGCAGTTGTGGCCACTGTAGCATCCCTCTCATTTGCTCTTCTGGTCAGTGAACGTACGGTAGTTTACTACCATTCACATCAGGAACAGTCCCTCCGATGGCATGGACGGACTTGTTCGAGAATGCGATTTTTATCTTCTGTGGTATGTAAGTTATCGGTTTCATCACCAGCACGATGCTGGCTCGATCCCGCACCAAGGCTCACCAAGTCTCTCATACTTCCAGAGTCTAGAATTTGGTACTAGACCTTTTTAGAGTAGTTCGCTCCTTGCAGTTGAAGTGGGAACGCGCTAGCACAGTTGTTCGAGGTCTCCACGGAGAAACGACCGACCAGCATTCAGCGATATCTATAACGAAGACGAAAATTCTCAAGCAGCACAAAGAATTCGGAGGCCTTTTTTGACAATGCATGTGACGAAACGAATGGAATGCAAGAACTGTTGGGATCCACAGAGTAGATGTGACGAGAGCTCATGTAAAATGAATAGAAAATAGAGAGCTATTGATTAGATAAATAGCAAAAAAAACACTGCGAGCTGAAACGGACACCCACAAATAAAGTGGGTCAAAGTGGTCAGGCCACTCAACCACACATCTCGTGCATGTCAAAATTAAGATTTTCCACAGTAAAATGGGAATTCCTGGCGCGAGTGGGGTAACGGCGAGCATCAGCGACCCATTCGAGGATAGCGTCTCGCTCCTCAAACCCTTTCGTCGTTCGAAGAGCTCTGACGAAAAAACAATCGATTTGTGAGCTCCCATTGTAATAGAATTACAGGATTGCATTGGGAGGTGGAAAATCGCTAAGCCGTAGCGGTTTCAGAAGCCTCTCCTTCTCTCAGCACGTGTCTTCCCAACTATGTGCTGCCAGAAGAAACGGCTTTCTGCGCCGAGCCAGTGCTCCCTCACGTGTGGACGAGATTACCCTGCCGTCGTACGCGCGCTAAAATGCTGTTTTGAACGGCAGTGGCCAATTTCAATGTTCTTCAGCTCCAAGTCCATTCTCTACTTTTAAGCTTGTAGTCCGTCTCTTGCGTAAGTACTTGAATGTTGTGAGATCCTCAGGACTTCGATTTTTTTCCTTCTTTTTCTCTTTTGTGTATTTCTTTCGATTCATTTTGTCCTGAAATTGTCGGCTAGAGCTTGAGTATCTGTTTTCCCTATTCCCCATCCCAGCGACACATTTGTTGTTAACTAACATGGGTTTTACGTCTTATAGAGAGATAACTGTGCTTGGACGTCCAGCGACTAATCGATCACCAAGCAGATTGAAATCGAGTCCACAAAGAATCTGTGTTAGAACAGGAAGAATACCGTAGTGAAAGTACAAGACATCAACTCGTTTTTATTTTCGTTCCCATAGCGGCACTTAGCTCTTGAGTAGACTATGGAAGGTTTCTTAACCTTTTTTACTTACTGCCTGTTCTTTTTAACGGCAGGGTATGTTGCGAAATATAACTACTATAATGCTGAGATATTTGGAAAACTCTGGACCGCAGACACCTGCAGTCCAGAGTTTTTCAAATATCTCAGCATTATAGTAGTTATGGAAGGTTCACTAGTCCATAAGAAAAGCGGAAGAATTCAGTACCATATCAGGTCCTTTTGCCATTGTGTTTCGTTTTCGATGTGATTTCGATCCTCTTTCCAAAGTGCCGTTAGACTGTACTTTCTTTTTAAGCGTTTCATATTCGACGTGATTGTCGGATAGCGCTGCTGTTGTCCACAAATGGTGGACGCACTTGAATTTGGCGATGTCTTCACAGAAGATATGGGCGTACTGGTGAGTGCCTTTATGGCGCCAACAGTTTTGTTAACTATGGTCCGTTTATAGGTCTTTTTGACCTGTTATCAAATCATTCGGATATTTTTATTCTTTCTCCTTCCAGTTTTTACTTCTGAAAATGATTTGGGTTTAGTCTGCTACGTGTACGCCAGATATCTCTATTTAGTTCTTACTCAATGCCATCTATAAACCAGCATTCAGAATCAAGGCCGTGTGAAACTTGCCGAGTCGATGATTCAGTTTAAAAACGAGAAGACTGGAAAGTTGAACTCTGTCAATGCCTCTGATCTGGTTGGTCTTAATTGGCAGCGTCTCGGAAATCGACCAGGCATTAAGCTCCGTTTCAAAGATGGAAAGAAGATCCGTTTTGGAGGGTTTAAAGATTCTGTAGGTCGATTTGACGTATTTTACAGTGTGCGGTGGTTAAGTTTTACATTTTCTACTGTCTTTCTTAGGATTTTGAGAAAATAAAGCAATTTGCTCAAAAGAATTGGCATAAGGAAGTAGAAGAGAACGATCTGGTGCTGAAAGGGTGGAACTATGGCAATTGTCAGGTGGAAGGCACGTTTCATTTTAGTTAATTAAGATGAAAAAGTTAATCTACTGAATATTTCCTATTTTGAAATGGTTTAGGTCAGTCGATCGAATTTACACTAGATAGCAAGCCAGTGTTTGAGGTCCCTCTCTCGAATGTCGCCAACTGCGTGGGAAATAAGAGTGAAGCAACACTTGAATTCCATCAGGTTGAAATTAGGAGTGTTCTGAAATCTCTTTGTTCTCTATGAATATAACTTCCTTTGTAGAACGATGACTGTCCGACTTCTCTTATTGAAATGCGCTTTCACATGCCAGCGGACGTGGACGACGAAGAGTCCGATCCAGTGGAGGTGCTCAATTTCTGGAGAAAATGCTCCCCATCACTTTTATTCCACCCCTATTTCACTTTTGTTATTTATGTTTACAGGAGTTTCGTAAAGCGGTCATGGCGTTTGCTGGAATTGAAACGGAAACTGGACAGCCTGTGGCATCGCTACAGCAGATTCTTTGTACTACTCCACGGTGAGTTTATGTATACTGTTGTATCCTATTTGGTCCTGTACTTTATGAACGGCATTAGGTGAAATAGCATAGAGCACTTCCACATGACATGCGTTATATCTGTCTTCTTTCATCCTTCTTTCTAGTCGTATTTTTGAAAGAACCTTTTACTTTTCTTACGACCGGTCTTCACAAATACTAGGCGGATCCCAGCTCCACTGAGGTCTTCCAACTTTTACATACGGGCGCTGCCTGAGGGTTTTCATTCCGTCTTGAATACCTTAGAATGCAGATAGATTCGACTCTTACTGGAGTCCTGAGATAGCCGGGCTAGAGCGTCCCCGATTGTATTTCAGAGAGTAATTTTTTTCCGGACAAGTCCGGTACAAATTCCCCGAGCCCGGAGGAATGAGTGGGTTGGTGAGCTTGGAGCTGTATCGAACCAATACTGTGCTCATAATTATCGGCGTCACTACCGCTGAGCTATCTGCCTCTTTTTCAAATATTTTAAAGCATTGGTGTGGTTCTTCTTATACTTAAGCTATATTCTGCTTCCAGTGGGCGTTACGACATAAAAGTATTTCCAAATCATCTTTCGCTTCATGGAAAAACGTATGACTATAAAATTCCGATAAAAACCATAATGCGTCTTTTCCTCGTTCCACACAAAGATGGCAGACACGTATATTTTGTGGTAAGTGGAATAATATTCATGAGTTAGATAGATTACCTTGAAATAGTCGTTGAATCTCGTTTTTGTAGATATCTTTAAATCCGCCAATTCGACAGGGCCAAACTCGTTATCACTATTTGGTTCTCGAGTTCCTGAAAGAAGATGAAATTGACCTTGAGTTGGGATTGACAGAGTGAGTATCATCCTTTCTTTTTCGGAGATTTCAGCAGATTAGCTTTCAGCTGTTCATGATGTTATATGTATAGGCAACAACTCAACGAGCAGTATGGTGGAAAACTGGAAAAAGAACTCTCAGGTCCTCTCTACGAGGTCGTTTCGAAGATATTTCGAGTTCTCATTAATATGAAAATCACGGTCCCAGGAAATTTTATCGGGTAAGAAGCAAATACGCTCTCTTCTTGGAAATTGGCATGGGTCATCATGCATGCTCATTGAAACCAGTCTAGTCAGTTCTTATGCGAGATTTACTATCGTAGTTCGTTTGTCTAGTTTTTGTCCAAGTTGTTATTTGACAAATTATTGATTCATTCAGTCATTCTGGGACTCCAGCTGTGATGTGCGCTCACAAGCAAGCTTCTGGATTCCTTTATCCTTTAGAAAAAGGTTTTCTCTACATTCATAAGCCACCAATGTATGTACGATTTGAGGAGGTTAGTGTATTTTTATCACAGTCAAATTGCATGTGAAGCAAAGAAGATTTGTTGCCATTCGCAGCCATTTTTTCAGGTTTCATCAGTCCACTTTGCACGATCCGATGTCTCTACACGCTCATTCGATTTCGAAATCGAATTGAAATCTGGTCAAGTTCTTGTATTCAACAGTGTTGAGAAGTGGGCTTTCCTATTCGCACTGTATTTTCTGTTGCAGCAATTTTTTTCTGCGTAAGTACCATTTAGAGAGGAATACAACAAGCTCTATGATTATGTTCAAAACAAGCACCTCCGCATTCGCAACGCTAAAAAAATGGCATGTTTTATACCTGTACATATTGTTTCATTGACGTATTTGTGTGAGCAAATACATAGTGTTTACTAGGTGACTTCAAATTTCTGTTATAGGAGAAGAATTATGCAGAAGATCGTTTCGCAGGATCAGATGATGAGATCGATCCGTATAAGGAGACGGTGAAGGCCGAGGGGAAAGAACGTACTGGTGCCGACAGTGATGACGATTCAGATTCCGAGGATGATGATTATGATCTCGATGAGGATATCAAGAAACGCAAAGAGGAGCGCGAATCAAGCGAAGGAAGTGGTTCAGAGCCGGACGAGGAATTCGACTCTGATGCAGGCAGCAGTGATGGAAGTGGCTCCGACGAGTCGGACGATGAAGAAGCACCCAAAAAGAAAGCGAAGGTAATGTTTTGAAGCCGTTTATAATATCGTATTTCTATATGACTTAGGAAGATATGCTTAATATGCTTACTTTGCAGAAAGAGAAGGAGATTAAAGAACACAAAGAGAAGAAGGAACGTAAAGAGAAGCAAAGGAGTGAGGGAAGAAAGGGAAAACGGGAGAAGAAAGACCCTAATGCACCCAAGAGGGCACAATCTGCATACTTCCATTGGTTAAACGAGAACAGAGCCAAAATAAAGAAGGTTCAAATACAGTAGTTTTGTTACAGGAAAGCTTTTTGTGTATCCGAATTTTTTAGGAAGGAGACTCAGTGGCAGATGTTGCAAAAAGGGCAGGAGAAATGTGGAAAGCAATGGATGCTGAAGCAAAACTGGTAAGTTATATGTAGAAAGTTACCAGTTGAGGAGATATAACTCGATGTCATGTGTAGTTTGATACTTCGATATTATCTTATAACCCATTAGGTCCTTGGCATAATTTTCATCAGTTTTTCTTTGTTAAATATCATAAATGAAGCCAGTATATCTTGGTTATTCTCTAATAACCTAAAGGTATTGAAGTAAGGACGGTCTCATGGTGGCGCAGTCGTGACAGCAGTGAATTAAATTTATTATCACTTGGGTCGTTAGTCGTCAGAAGATTCCAGAATATCATTATTTCACGCGTTCTAAACGCGTTAGCGATGTCTATAACAAGTGAAGCAGAAGTCTTGCAGAGTGTCATGAACTGTAGTATCATTTAGAAGCTCTACTGCGGCTACTAGTCAAGAATTTTTAAAACGTGTAATATGGTCCTCTTCTTGAAAATTGTTCAGAGTATTGTTAATGGACAAATTGGTCGGTGGCTAACGGGGTTCGTTCGGTTTCCACACTGACAGGATGACCATACGTCAGGTTTTCCGATGAACTTTAGAGTTTGTTTCTGAAGGTTTGGCTATTTGGATGGACCGTGATTATGTTTGTGGTATTCAGCTTGGAGAAAATCAACCATTTTGTTTTTCTTCTGAGCTGTATTTGAAATTGTACATGGAAACTGAAACTTAGCAGGAACGACCAGCTGGTCTTCATTGAGAAGGATATAGGGGTCTGGAGCAGTTGTTTTGGAAATTAAGTTCCTGGAGTACAATTTTCATATGGGACATCATTTTAGTTCTGGCTGTACATCATTTTTTCCATTTTCAGGTAAAGACCACTAAGGTATAGTAAGGTATTTCTGTTTGTAACCACTTCAAGTTTTTAAAACGAGTAGGCTGGATCTCTTATAGAAAGGTAATACTACACCGCCGAATAAACAAATGCTTGTTGTGATATGTCTGTTTATGTCTTGATCAAGTGTTTAGAAGCTTCTTGCTCTTGTATCCAGCAATGAGTTCCGTAATGGTCAATTTTTGGAGAAACACGTTTTGAGCTGGTATTCATAAAGACATATTAGATGTAAAACGCAGTCGTTATATAGCCGAAAATTGAGGAAGATGTATTTGAAGACTGATTTCTACCCAAATGGGACAATACTTGATTATAGCTAGCTATTGTAATTGTTTGGAGGTGTCGAAACTCTTCACAACTACGTGGGTGTACCGAGAAGGAAAATGATCTGGTTCTAAACTGGAACATACAGTGATATCGCTTAGCCATTGTAGCACGAGGACTTAATTCTTTACACTTCCTCTAAGCTTTACTACACTAAAGTGGCGAAGAATATCAGCCAATGCAGAGTAAAATCCCATCTCTATTGCAAAGTCAGTTTCAACGCAAAATCGATTGCTTTTTGAAGATAAGAGTCACTTCGACATGTTACGTACCATAACGACTTACGTAGTACATTTTAACGCTAAGAGTACATGTAGTGCAGCTGTTGGAGGTGCCCTGCAATACACACGAGGTCTACTTCAAACCAGTGTCCCAGCCTCACTAAGCCTTTTGTCCTTTCTGGGTTGGTACCATACTTATCTGGGACAGTAGCAGCACTGATGTGATACATCGTTGGGCGACCGCAGTTTACTTTGTAGGTCAGACATGCATTCTATAACCTCCGAACGATTCTTGATGAAGTCGAATGCATGGCGCATCCCTCAAGGACTGCTTAACGCCATTAGCTTTATCATTTTCGTATCTTAGCTATAAAGTAGAAGAGTCTATTTGAATTACTCGTTGCTCATTGTCTGTTAGGAAGTTTTGCAGTGTCTAATCGAAGGAAATTAATTCCATGGCCGTATCCACAGTGAGGAAGTGGAGCCGAGATTACACATAGACTCACAGTATTAATACTGTACGGTGCTATCGTATTATTTTGTCCTAATCGTATGATTCCCATAAAGACTAACTAGAAAAGGAATTGAACCTGTTGTGAATAAAACCATACTTATAGCTGATTTTTAGCCATGGGAGAAGGAAGCTGCTGCAGATCGGGAGCGGTATGAGGCTGAGATGAAGGAGTACAAGAAGAGCGGGAATAAAATATCACACACTGAAAAGGCCTCTCCCAAAAAGTCATCTGGACCGTATGTAGTAGAACTTAATTCGTACGATTGTTTCTTACTGGTTACTAGTTTTAGGTAACCATAATAAAAGTACTTTTTAGATCACCACTAAAAGCCAAGTCCAAAGAGTATATAAGTGACAGTGACGACTCCGACGATGACGATAAGCCTCTACGACCAAAAGAAAAAAAGGAAATTAAGGAAGAAGTTAAGAAAGAGGTCTGTTTCCATATTTTTGCAACTCCGCGTCCAGCATTTGTTTCGTTTCAGGTAGATTCAGAATAGGATTCCGACACGTCACCAATGGACTCCTGTTTCCTGCAACTTAACTATCCAGTGTATTTTTTCGTATAACGTTGATAAACTTGTCGATTATTGTAAAAACTTATTCACCTTGTGCTTAAATGTTCGTACTATATGTTTTGAACAAATGGTTTATTTTTTAAAAAACGAGCAACGTAGGTTATTGTTCAACTATAACCTTCAGCTCCAATAATCGCAATTTCCCATCGCTCCCAGCAACAGCCAGTTGACAACGGTTCCTCGGGTTAACCCTTAAACTATCTTATTTGAAACAAATCCAAATCTACCGAGAATCATTTGTTTATAAAGTCACCTTAACCGTAGGATCGCACTATCCACAGTTGTTTTTGGAACAAGTATTTGATTAACAAGTTGAAGTGTTTCATCTACGGCATGTAAAAATAGTAGCGAACCGTCTTGAAGTCCAACAGCAATGATTGCGTTCCTAAATTTGCCTGTATTATCAGGAACAGACAATAGAAAGCGATGACAATGACCGGTAAACAAGTAACCTCATGTCCATATCATTACATACAGCAACACTTGTCGCTGGCTGTAGACATTTGAACCTGCTTACGGGAGCTGTCAATGCATCATTACATTGCCAACAAATAACCTGTAAGAACGTATAAGTCGAGCCCTCATGCTTTCAACTCGACTCGAAAAAATGCGTCTAGATTGTATTGGTGTGCTAAAACAAGGAAGAAAACAATACTCTATCCAAGAGGTATGATGATGTCGCAAGTCTACTAATGTGTACGGATAGTAAGTAACTGCTGAACGGGGACAAGGACATGTAATACGTGGTCCGGTTTCAATTGGAAGCATTTTTTAAAGCCAAATTCGGTGGATTTGTCAATCAAATGACGTGCAGGAACTGCTATTAATTGCGGAATCTGTTCTAATTACAATACGGGTCACTAGAAATAGTCCCTACCTGCATGTCCCGTGACGCGGTCACGAAATGTTTGGAATCGCTAAACCAACAACACGACCAAATAATCCTTGAATGTTCTTTGCCAGATGACCACAATTTTTCGTAATGAAAACCATTCACTAGAAAACTTGGTAAAACTGAAGCAGAAACCGTGGCGCTCCAATGTCTCAAAAGAGTACGGAGGGATATTAGTCATATTTTTAGTTATTATGAGGTGCTGTGACAAGGTGATAGGAATTTGTGGACAATCGTGTCTTTAACAATCGCCATCATATATGATCGTTACCACTTACAACACCCATTTTGTTCGCCGCAGAGAATTGCCGTCCGGTCCCTACTGACGCTAAGCAGACGCGTGCCATCAAGACTCCATTCTAGCTGCGTGACGGTCAATTTGTGGCCTAGTAATAAGCTGCTCACATTCTGGAGATGAGACTATGTGAGCATACTAAAAAGAAATAGAAAGAAGTATCACAGCTAATGTCCAACCAACGATCTCGGACTTCTTGCTCCAATTTGACGTATCCCAAAGCATAATGACGGCGTCCTCAATTTGACTAGCCTGAAAGAGAGAATCCGAAATGCAAATGTCCGTAGCCTCTCTAATACACTTAATCAACAACAGTTTCTTAGATTCTACCATTCGTATAGAAAAGGATAAAGCTCTCTGCGCTGATCAATCTCTGAGGAATGCGCCATGCATTCGACATCATTAAGCATTGTTGGAGGTGATTGAATCCATATCTGGCACTTCCAATGACTCGCGCTGGCCTACCGATGCGTCGAGCAGCCGCTATTCTCCCAGACAAGTCTGGTAGCAATCTGCCAATCCTGAAGGAATGGAAGGCTTGGTGGGTCAGAGGTGCGGGTATAGATCCCATGTGTGTTGCAGAGCGCCGCCTCCGACTACGGCGCTACACGCGCCTCCACCATTCGTATACGTTCGATAGATCTCTTTTATCTATGCTAAAATGGGGAACTTAATGAGAATTAGAACTTTGCAAAACAAAATAAAATAGTAGTAACAGTTGGTAATCATACAGCAATATTTAAACGAGGTTCTCTTCCACATTTTTTTGGTTTGAATAACTGAGACAAAGATCATGTACCTTACAAGATGTAGCGATGACGGTACCAGCTGGATTAACAGCCACAGCGTAGACTTCATAACCATGCCCGTACAACTTTTGAATCTCGGGCCAAAGCGTATTTTGTTGTAGACAATCCTCCGTTGGGGGAGCTAAAACAAACAAAGGTCAAAGTGCATCCGAAATCTGAGACAAACCTTCTTGATTCTTGAAGACATTGATTTAAGACGGCATGGGATTACCAGTTTCGGCTCTCGACAAGCTTTTGAAGAATTCCTATTATACTTCTCGTTTTTCATGCAAAATACTGGCACGATTGCTATCTTCTTCAATGTCGAATGTCAGACTTTGCAGAATGAGAACGTCAGACTTTTTTTGGTCAACTTACTTTTTAGCTATGAATTTTCTGCCCCTGGTGTTCAGGAGTTCCGTCCTATACTTTCATGCTAAGTTGTTTTTAATGTAAGCCATTGAAATAATAACAGAAAAACAACGGCTTTCACAATAAAACAATCAACAATCTTTCCCTACGAATTCAAACATGGACACTAGTGGATTGAAGAGAAAATAGCTTGCAACATCTAGCACACTGCACTTAGCCACGAAACCGTCGATAATCGAAGATTATTTGCGAACGTGAGGCGAAGAAGATCCACGGATCACGGTTCGAGAAGAACGAGGGATCAGCCGAAGAAGATATCCATGGATCACGTTTCGAGAAGAACAAGGGATGAGTTGAAGAAGAACCAAAGGTATGTAACAGTGGTATCGGAGTACTACAGCCGAAATTCATGACGAGAAGAATATTTCTGAAACGACAGCTGACAAAATTATGCGTTTGCGTAGGTTTAAACAAAGGTGGAGCATAAAAACGGTCCTTAAAGCCAAATTTGTGTCACAGGACTAGGTGTTTTTCATGGGAGGCATATGACTCAGGAATCATTTACTATGACATTTTAAACCCTAGTGACATTATTTCTGCAGTTTTGTGTGAGGAGGTTAGGTGTTTTCCTACGCTAGCCACACAGAATCGTCCACATTAGCACTTTAAATGCTATGGAAATCAACACTACAGAGAAGTTCTGTGTGAGGAATTGGACAAGATCGACCAAAAAAGACGCTTGTCGTAGTTATTCACAGATTTCGAAGCAACAATTTGTAAAGCTAGAAGCGATCAGAGAACCCTTAGACAATCTCGGCGAATTCGAAGACCGAAATTTTTGTTAAAACGTGATGTTTAAGCTGGTGATTGGATGGCAAAACCCTATAACTGTGGTAATTTTGCTTTGACAGACGAAGTAAGATTTTGCAGAAGTAACAGCAGATGAAAGCGCTCAGGATGAAATGGACTTTAAACGAGAAAAGTCATATATCGCCACGTTCTAGAGATTGATAAAACGGTATATTTAAACACAATACTACTACTCCTACTACTACTACTATTTACCTACAGTACATCTGTTTCCACATGACGGATCTCCAACACACCATCCCTGTTAGCTTTCTACTTACTTCCTATCATTATTTTTCACGGTACAGTATGATATGTCAGCGCCATAGTGGTTGTATCTCACACCATTTTATATTCTTTCCAGATGGTTCAGCTTACACAAGGTTGATAGAAATTCTATTCGGAAAGCGTTTCGACGTCTTCGTCTTCCATAGAGCCTATTGGTCCAAGTCGATGGTTTACAGTATCCGAACTCACGACCTGGTTTATCATAGTCATATCGAGTCAAATCTTCTGGACTTGGGCACCACACCACTATGGACGATCGACTCGGATCAATCGGATCTAAAGAAGACGAAGACGTCGAAACGTTAGTCGAAGAAAAGTACGTACCAACCTTGTGTAAACTGAGCAATTTAAAAAGTATATCCACTATTCAGCCTGAGGTTAAACGATGGTCGTTCTTGAGAACTAATGATTCACTACATCATTCTCTTTACAGTCACCAACTAGCTTATTATGGTGGACAAATAGTCCTAATGGAATCCGTTACTAGGTCCTCGCACTAGTGAGAGGATTTCTAAGATTGAAGGGGATGAGGAAGGGTGTCACAAAGTGGCAACCACCTGTGAAGAAGGAATATAATGATCTGCATAGAATCTGTAGCTCAGGAATAGTTAAACAGATCAAAGCGCTCATATGACAATGATATGCTGGAGTCTTTTCGAAACATCCCAGCTAGATGCTCCGACATCTTATCAAACAACTATTAACCAGCTATCAGGATCGACTTTCTATCTACGTAGTGATTTTTATGGGACATTTTCAATATGTCCATGCTCTACTGACTTCTATTTTATCACGAAACATATTCTGTTGCTAAATTGCATTCCCATAAGTCCATAGTGACTAAAATAAAACAGATACCATGAAGTTCGGAGGGTACCGCCTCAAACACAACTTCTTCCCAATGAGTTTCTGCATCCAGAGTTGGTTGCGTTTTTTCGAAATCTTCAACTGCAATTGCCTTATTCGACAAGCCCAAAGCCGGAACTCTGGCACCATAATATGTAAGCGCGCATTTACCAAAAATCTGCAATTCGTTCTATCAAAGATTTCCAGAACTAGAATTTGTCATAGGTAGTCGTACCTGTATCATTTCAAAGCCACTTATATTGCATAAACTCTTTGCAAATGTCTGAGGTGCTTCGAAGACTCGAAATATTTTCTCTTCAGCTCCAGATACGAATATTGAACTATAATCGTGGTTTCATCCTGATGGAAATATAGATACTCAAGACAATAAGGATTACCTCGAAACCACACTTAAACATTGCATGCTATGACCATGAACTTGAGGTCGCGCAACTTCAACGAATTTTTGGTCCTGTAACTTAGTCTACCCTTCACCAGACGTAATAAAGAACGTCCAAATATTACATTTTGTGGAATGTAAACCCTTGTAGTCTTATCCTCGCCAACTGAGATGAAGAACTTGCCATCAGGATGCCAAGCCACGTCTCGTACTGCTGCAGTATGGCCGCTGCACATCGCAACTGCGTTCCACGTATTGCCCTTCGTCAGCAATTTTTTTTCAATCCTATTCCAACAACTTCGTCTTAGCAAGATACCTTTTCGGAAAGAACCCAACCGTAAAGTCCTCCATAGTAGGAACAGGCGACTATTTGCCTCGCGTCCGGAGAAAAGACGGCACAGAAAAAGCCAGCAGCCTGCCCACCCACAACTCCTATACGCACCTGAAATATGTGTTAAAATCTCATACAATTTTTGTTAAAATACCCAAATTGGAGCAAATCAGGATTACCTCATCACTCCAAAGCCTTCCATCACACACTTCTTTCCAAACGATTACAGTTTTGTCACTGGAAGATGTTAACAGAATGCGTCCTTCGCTATCCCACTGAGTTGAGTGTACCCAATCATTGTGCCCAGCCAGTACTGCTTCAACACTTAGACAAAGCGAAAGTGCTAAATGGGAGGACCGTTAAAATCCCATTTTTATCCTTTTGTTTTTAAATATCGTCCCCAGAATGATTTATAGTGAACGAATACATTAAAAGTGGGTTTTAAAAACTTACTTCCTTCAGCAGTGTCGATTTGGAAGCGATTTTTAGTCACATTAAGTTCACCATCACCTGCTCCCTTAACTTCCTCTTCAATACGCCATATTTTCACAAAGGCATCCTGTCCGGATGAAGCTAATAAGACAGGAACTGATTCTGAATATCGACTTCTAAAGAACAAAGTGACAGGATTAAGAAGAAGCAATAAAGAAAAGCAGTCACGATTAAAAGCTACGGAATGTATCCAGTCCTCATGAGCAACGATTGACAACACTTTTTTCATAGCCTGAAAAAAAGTGAAACAATTTAAAACAAAAGGATTTTCAACTAGGTTCCTAATGTACGACCTTTTCACACAATGTTTCGCAGTAGAGCTCAATCGTTCTTTTAGTGGTTCCAACAGCAAGAAGTACTTTTCCTAAAAAACTGAAATAGAGAATAGCTTGAACGACTAGAAAACAGGAATGTCATTGAAATTAGTTCATTTCTACCGAGCAACTAAAAATCTTGTATTAAAAAGTTATGACTCGCAATATGTAAAATCAGTTTCCGTGGATTCGCCTCCGTTATAGACAATGAACCCAGATCTTTGAAATAAAAATGTGAGGGATTTCCATAGAAAGCAGAGGAAATAAAGAGGAAGAGAAGTAGAAAGTCCGGTCTAACTTATAGCTCTAGCAACTGAATGAAACTGCCCAAGGAGGACCAGAAGAAAATCCTGGAATGATGTTTGCTTGCAGAAAGTCGGTCACTCTCACCACTAGACATTGTCTGCATATCCGAAGCTACAACAAACATAGTTCCAAAATCGCAAATATCGAAGAAATCACGCATGGAGAGCTGATTGTATGAATCAAGCCACCATACGCGCACACCGGCATCTGTGCCGTCAACCTAAACCTGTCATAAACACACCTTCAACCAATTAAAAGCTGATGAAGCACTGTCAAACCACCTCATATATGTGTTACCAGTTGGAAAGAACAAAACAATGACAAATAAAAAACTGTACGCGTACCCAAGAAGCCATCACAACAAGTCTACCAGTTGCGAATGTGCCACAAAGTGCACCAATGGAACCCATGACTGCATCTAAACATCATAAACATGGTGTCTTTAAAGATCGCTTTGCACTTCTTGCACAGAAGGAAAGAACTCACTTAATGTGATCAAGTGATGGATTGCTGGATCGACAGCGCTGACAGTATACAGGACTACTCTACCATCAACACCACCACTTAAGAAAACATCATCTGAAAAGCACCTTGTATTATATAAAACTAACGAGACATGGAAACGCGTGCATCGCAGTGGTCGGAGGCACCATGCAATATATACAAGAGCTATTTCCGTGCCCCAGGCACACCGAGCCTTCCATCCCTCGACGGTCGAAGAATCGGTACTGGACTTGTCTGAGAAGATAGCAGCACTGGCACCGGTAGACCACCGCGAGCCATTGTAAAGTCCAGATGTCCACTGAGTCACCTCCAACGATGCTTACTGAAGTCGAATGCTTAGCGCATACCTCAAGGATTCACCAACACTATCCTTTAAACGAAATTTGGTTTACCATGTATGGGTGCGCTCCTCTACAACCCTAACACGATACACAGGTAAGAAACCTTGCAAAAGATAACACGATCAACTAACCCGAATTGTGTCCGGGGTTGTTAACCAGCTTCAAAATAGTAATTGGCCCACTATGATAACGTTCAGAAACCGAAACAATGCGGCCACAGGAGGACTGAAAAGAAACCACTTCGAACCTAATCATACACTAGTCACAGAGTCGTCAGGCGCAGCTACTGCTTAATTTAAGGATACCAAAGATTATTCTCTAAGCCACATCTAGGCGGAGTAAGTGAAACTAGAACTTACTTACTTGCTTGTACATACAGAATTAAACCGAAACTTAATAACAAACTGCATAGAACGTACCGAAGGGAACGTCTGCAAAACTGCTTGTCCATCAGAAGCAAAAACAAAGTGATCACTCTTTCGGCAAGAAGCAAGGCAATGCGACCGTACGTTTATACCAGCGGAAATAAACACCTCTTTCACCAAAACCTCGTCCATTTACTGAATAGGATAAAGAAGCTATTTGTCTGGAAGCATTCTATTCATCTAGTACAACCCATCTCTTTCTCAACGACTCCATCACATAACCAATAAACTGGTGTCGACTACTGGGCACCTACAAAATTACCGTTGTCGAAAGGTGTTCCCTTGCTGCCAAGCTATCGAAGCCTTTCTCACACACTTCAAGGATATCCATTTATTTTATAACAATGCCGATCATAACCCAGAACCAATAAAAGTTCAAAAAATTAGGTTGAAAACTCATCCTATTTCCTAAAAGCGCACCCAAACCCAATTTCTGGTGCACGCTTAATCGATCAATAACTACGTAATTATTGAAAATACACAGGTAATACTAAGCATGGACTTAACAACAATTTATTTTTAAAAAAAACAGCAGCAGATAACCATCCGAGCCTTTCAGCGTTCAATAAGTTACGTAACGGCTGCGGATCCACAAGTACTACTGAACAAAACTTGACAACAATTTATTTTAAACAAACAGCAAAAAATTTCATTCAACGAAGTCTTCGAGCTTCTCTTTCCGCTTCCAACAAGGTCAATATGTCACCTTCACGAACGGGTCCCTTGACATTACGAATAATGGACCGATTACCACTGTCATCCATAAATTCGACACGAACCTACAATAAAAGAAAGTGATAGAAACCAATGACTACTAGGTTAAAATAGGTAGAAGAGAGAACAAACACAACGTGTAATATTCTATGTTACAATGCCAAGCATAGTGATTAGAGTTGGTGTTTCATAAAGCGAATTAAGCAGAGAGAACGCTTCAGATAGCCAAATCCGACAATCATGACGAGAAATACAAATGGGTGCAAATCGTCATGAACCAGAATCCCAGTCCAACAAAAGTGCATCCTCCGATAGAGGATAAATACACAAAAAAATGTTATAACGACACTTTAAAACACAGTGAATTATACGTCCACCGCTTAGAAGTCTATAAAGCTTACTCCGCAGTATTATGCAACACTTAGTAAGAAGGTTTCCATCGCGAGAAAACATCTGACATTCGTCCCTTGCACAGCCACTTTGACTGGCTCGCTTTTACAACTGCACGTTCGTTCGAATGACATAAGCCCCACAGGAAGAATGAATCAAAGATTATTAAGCTTCATTCGTACTGTTCCATATAAATTCCTAAAACTGCTTCCTTATCGAAATCGTGAACTATTGCGGGTACGTCCTCACATATCCTCAAAAGTAGTTTACGTTAAGGATACAGACACGCCTTTTTAACACCTTATGAATAAGATCTATCAAACGGGGTAAAATGATCTGCTAACAGTGGTTCATTCTTAACAGAGGACTCCCAATTCAGTATGATGTCACATTACCTTCAAGCATGGTGACCATGGACGGGTAATGTACTATTGCTGGGTATCGTAAGATTATAGTTAGGGATATACCATATAAAACAAATATCCCTATCTTCTTTGCATATTCTAAAGAGAACGCTGCTAGACGATGTTTACTGCAACAATTCTCCTTACCGACAATCATGTTACAAACTATTGAAGGTTCTAAAGTTTCATAACGACAAATTAAGCAGCAATAACCCATTTGTTCACGCCTTAACAATGTACAAATGCTGTCAACAAAAAGGAAATACATCAAATATACCTGTGTACACTGGCCCTGAGAACCAGTACGTCCAATAATCTTCGTTACCCTGGCGAGCTTCACTGGTTTGTCCATGGTTGAATGAGCTACTAAACAAAAAGCTAAACGAAAACCCGTCTATTTCACATAAGCGAAGAACCACGAAAGGATTGTGACGTATACAACTTCTGAACAATTTAAGAATCTTAAGGAACAATGAAATTGTACAAGACCTTCTCTGGCCTAAAATGAACGCCCAGGTTTCTGGAGAGACTTCTATAGCCCCATTCTATTGAAATATTGAAGCTGAACTTCGATTCGAAACTAATGTAAGAACAAATAACTATACGAACACAGCGTGGCTAGTGTAAAGGTTCAAATACTGAAGGTAAACTTGTGAAAGGACTACTTCACATCCAAAGCAGCGAAATCTGTGCAGGACCCACAAACGAAAAACGCAGGCACCGTGTCCAGCCGCTCGACCATTTCATGCGGTGGCAGAGGTTGTGTTAGGTGTTGGATCGGTCCATTCCGTCTTCTAGTGGGAGATGATGAAGGACGACTGGAGCGGATGTCTTCGCTCATCATCTATGCAGTCCTGGAAATCCAAAGCCTTCAATGAGCAGGACCAGGCAACTACGACCAGATCGCATAGGAATGCACTTCCAGTGGGAAAACAGTGATCCTAGAATTTTTACGGTTGGACTGCGATGGGTTCTTTGCCTACGGTATCTCGAGTGAAAAGACATGCTCTATACTTTGCAAGTTGGTCACAACCTTCCATGCTTTCTTGGTCGAAGAGTAAGGTTAGGCTTCAAGGAAGTGGTCCAGAAGCGCTCGACAAGTTTCCAAGAAGACTCGAAAGATGTGGGAATGTATGAATGCAAGTGTTCATGACTTTCAACAGTAGCTTTTTCTAATCCAGTAGCATTGAAAGAACTTACGTTTTAGATTGGCATTGATAATGTTCACATCGACCCCGAATAAAGCGTTCTCTCTGTTATTCAGTTGTTTCTTTTTCCAGATTTTCTACATGTTCTTCGGCAATAAACGGTTTCGCACAGCTGACTATGCTGTTCAAGACCATAAGGGCGTTGGTAATAAAATTTTACCTGCGAACTCCATTAGCCTACTTGACGGTAAGGTTGGAGATGGCCACCTTGTGTAGAGCTGTTCTCTTTGTAGGACGTCTCCACACTCTTAAAAAAGCCTCAACCAACATCTTCGTTGTAGCAGAATCTCTACAGACTGGTGTTCAATGTCATACTTGATTGCGATTTCAGTGTTTGAATTAAATTAAAGATGATCAAAGGAGGAATAGTTAGAATCGACACATTTTTTCCGACAAGGTACAGCTTGTTTATTTCAGCACCTTAAAAGTCTGGAGATCTGGACCTGACGAACTCTTCACGATGATTCCTAGAAGTGGTTTAAAGATTGAGGATTTTCTCAGCTAGTAGTTGTAGAGTCGCTTGGGCAACTGGTAACTTGTTGGTTAGCGAGATCTCCTATTACTATGGTGAGTGAGGCAGAGTTCCATAGATCAACTCGTTCAACTTCTGCAGCGCAAGTCGTGCGACGTGTTGTGGGTCCACCGCTGTCGTGTTCCTGTTGACCAGCACTAGAAGGGATATTCCTAACGAATTTCTCAAACTTTGTGATAGTACTTCTCTTTTGTGGTCGCTTTCACCAACATTCGAAAAGTAGTGGTTGAATTCTCCGACTACAGACCACTATTTTGTTACCATAACCTTCTTTTGATGGAAATTCGCTTTTGGGAAGCGTTTTGGAGTTACACCTTGGTCCATTTCTTGCGTTGTACGTTCTAAGTTGCATGTTCGCTTACCACATATCGCAATGCAATCGAGACGGGTCGTTCTATTGCGAGGAAGAGGCAGGCAAAAAGCAAACCACACAACGATAACTTTTCCTGTCAGCTCAACAGACGCCCTCAAATCAAATGTTTTCACTTTTCCAATCCACTTCAAGTACTGAAAGGCTTATGATGGTTGGGTGTTGGTTACGGTTACACACGACGTCACTGGAAACGGATCTGACGAACACACGCACGACACACCATGCAGATTGCTTCTTACACTCAACGTACAATACCAGAAAACTCCTCATGCGTCGCTCTTCACACCCTTCTAAAACCCACATGGCATCAAATTCCATGTAATCGCCTTACAAAAACAAAAAGCAAAAGACCGACATACGCCAGTTAAGCAACGGTACATTTGTCATCCGTGCAGAAAGGATACCGTCAGGAAATGGCGATGTAGGCTTTGTCGTCCACCCGTCCATTAACCATCTCATTGACTCGTACGAGATCCCTTGCATGGCCGTCCTCATAAAAAGATCACTGTCATCAATTGCCGGTCACCAACGGAAGTAGCTAGTGAGTACGAATTGGATGCGTTCTATTACCAGTTGGAAAATTACAAATTTGTTGTCGAAAACCTCAATGCTAGAATAGGGTTGGCCAACGAGAGCGAACAGAGGATTGGAAAATTTTGAATAGAGAAAAGAAATGAGGATGGAAACGGTCTTGCAGGACACGTGCCTGAACCACCCACCCCTCTCCCATGGAAACTCGTTTTCCGAAAGAAAGAAAACCGCAACTAGACATGGGAGTCTCATAACGAGACGACACCTGTGAAGATCGACAATATTCTGACAAAAAAAACCAGTTCCTTCTTGACCCATCGGTAGTTTCTAATTCTGTACTGGGTTCGATCATCACCTTCTTCGCCAGAATATTCGACTCAGCCGTAAGCTGGAAAAGAATCCATGTGACCATGAAGACCATGAAGAAGAAGTCCACCTGTGTATGACGAGGATATTCTGAACGAAATCCTATCTAAACATAACTGACAGATTACGTCAGATCCGACCGAAGACTACGAACTGCTTGTTGAATGACCTAAAAGTTGTACTAAATTCGCCTCAGATCGGATCACATCTCTTTTACCACTGAAGAGTTGCTCTAGAATAGAATGAGACTGAAGCTTCATCCTACTGCAAAAGTCCAACATAACTAGTAATAAGTTACAGAAGAGCTTTCCAGGAAGATCTACATTGGCACAGGTAGAAGAAACTGTTAGTTGCAACAAAAAACTAACCTGAAGAAATACAGTTGGGTCTTGTGCAAATGCAATGTTCCGCCAGCTCAGACAAACGAAGATGGGATCACTAAAGTTTCCTGCCATGATACAGAAGGGAAAGTTCTACACCAACCTTTTCCGCCCACAGCCCTCGTCTTGGACCACGAAATCTCCACTAGTGAAAAACCGCCTCGAATTCCTCCCTCTGAGACTCGAGCTAAGACGTTGCGTACGGTCAACCTACCAAAGAAAAGTGACAAAAGGGGTTTTTGTAAATATCGTCTACTGCGCTTGTTTAGTTAGTGAGCTCTACAACTTTTCACGAAGATAGTGCATATCAAGGATACTAGATAAAGCACAACCAGTTGAGCAAGCAGGATTTCGATAGGGATTCCGCAGCACGGACCCTATCAAAACTGTATCCAGGTTATGAAAGACTGTCGAGAGTATCACCTGCCCCTAGTCTTGATTCTTGCCGAATATGAAAAAGTGTTTGACGGCGTCAGAATGAATGCAATCCTATCAGCGCTCGTTGACAAAAGAATGGACCCGTCCTACATAAGAGGTCTACCATTGTTATTGGAACTACATTATGAAAATGCAGCCTTCCCATCGAACTCTCACCATACGCGCAGTAAAACGGGTTCGACAAAGCGACGCCAAAGTTGTTTATCGCCGCATCGTAATGGATAATGAGGTCACTCGATTGGTATGAGAAAGGCAAACAGATAGGTAAAAAATTTCTGTCAAATTTTTGTCTAGCCAACGACACCGATATCTTCCTTAGAAGTACAAACGAAGCAGACACGATGACCAATGATCTAGATGAAGCCGAGGGAAAGATCAGACTGAGCATGAATCAGAGGAACACCTAATTCACGAAGGACCGTTAGCGCGAAGGCGCGAATAGATCGAGCTTGATGGTTCTCCGTTTACAGAAACTACGTCGTTCGTATACTTTGGACGCTTAATGAACATGGAAGACAACGTGAAGGATAAGTCAGGAAGAAGGACAACATCATGAGCCGCATTCAACCCTGTCGAATAAACCACCGACCATAAGAAAGGAGAAAGCTCTCGGTGTTGATCAATCCCTGTTGGATGCGCTATGCATTCGACTTCTTTAAGCATAGTTGGAGGTGACTGAATGCATATCTGGGCTTCGCAATGACTCGCGGTGGGCAACCGATGTATTAAGGTGGTGCTGTAGTCCTCCCAGACTGATGTGGTGCCAACCGCTGATCCCGAAGAAATGTAAGACTTGGGTGAACCTGGGGAGCGGGACGGAAACCGTGTGCATTGCAGGGCACCCCGACCATTGCACTACAAGCGTCCTTACCGATCAATTAAAGCACCCGAATATCCGCGCTCATCTTGTTGATTCAACAGACAGAGCAGTGGGCTGATACTTCAACCACGTGAAGAAATTTGCCCACCGACCAAGCATGCGCTTGAACACTATCTTCCGGAACACGGCACACACAGCGTTCAGCAGGAATGCACAGTTGAGATCTTCGAAATCTATCCAATCTACGAAAGGAGAACACACATTGACAACGAAAAATAGATGGGCTGGTCATATAATGAGATGAACAGTTGACAGAAATAACTGTAGAGTGAACCCTACGAGGATGCTAGGGTCCCCTAAGACGATCATCTACACTTTGGGCGGACGTGTAAACCAAAGTCTTACAGCTGTGCTCGCAGTTGCAGTTGTTTCACAAATCACGGTATGAAACTCGTAGTCGCCACCATGCTCAAATCAAACCATCACCATGGACGACAGTTGTTAGGCAAAGAAATGAATAGGAAATGTGCTGGAGCCTGCACAGTGCGTTAATACATGCCGTTGAACTATCCGTCTAAATACAAATAAAATTTTGCTCATATCTCAGCATCATTGTCGTAGTATTCCACATAATGCTTTAATGGAAGGTTGAGATTAGGTGATCAATGTGACAATATTTCTGGAAAATCGTACGGCCGCTGGGATCCCGTGGCCAGTTAGGTAAAAACGAGAGTATCGGCTGTGTCGTAGAGCACGAGAATACGAGATTTGGGGTTGTTTCATTAAAGCTCATGGGATGATTTTCAGGATTTCAGTGCAAATGTTACTTGCCTCGAGTTCCGATCATCGACAACTAAATCCAGAGACTAACCGTTTCGAAAATGTTCAAGCAAGTTCCACAAAAAATTTTTGCTAACTGTGAATTCTATTCAGCTATAAGATAGATGCACTTAGGAGTATTCTCGTATGCTAATGGAGTGAATCTCAACATAGATGGAAAATAACCTTCAAGGAGTCAAGGACGTTCTCATTTTATTCACTCACTTCTTGTGAAGTGCTTCACGACTAGCATTTCACGAATTCGCTTTGCACTTTCTGGAAAAGACGGAAAACTCTCTAGAATGCCTTTATGTGATAATTTTTGAAATGAATCTACATCGCAGACATTGTGAGGTTCCTAGCACAGCCTTCATCCAATGCTTTTTCTCGCATACGTCATCAGTTGTTCGGGTTTTAAACGAACGTTCGGTTGCTCCTTGGGGATTTTCGTATCCTCTATAAATGTAGTTGGATGATTGTAAAGTCTGCTCCTCCTGAATTCCTGGGATAGCCGTGCTTGGACGACTGTTACTGTTTTCATGAAGCCTAAGGGATGGGAGGCTTGGTGGGTAGCACAGTGTATCGAATGTTTTCCATTTTCATGTCGTAATAATTTCGCCATCATTTACTGTTTATTGTTCTGATGCTTTCAGCAAATATTTTATCCAGGGCAAAACAAGGCTCAGCTACCTCTACTCATTCTGGTTACTCGATAAAGGTTAACAGAATTGTCATCATCTTGTGGAACCGTTTTCGTCCTATTCTGCACGGTCTTTCTTGGTCAGCACAAACTCTAAAGATCTTAGTTGTTGATTCTCATCGCTTGCGTCTTTCACTTCTTTTTTGAAGCCAGTCATTGATCACCATGTAGTCGCTTTTAGTTTCATTATATTGTTACTACTTTGTCATTAATCAAAATACAAGGATTCAGTTACCTAAGTCAAACTGAACTTAGTGAGTCTCGAGCTGCAAGCTTGTAGAGGCATTCATATGTCATCTGTATATGTTGATGCCATACGTTTCGCTGCATTGGATCCTCAGGAATCCAGTCAGAAGCGACTGTTGTCCATCAGTCGCGGTCATGACGTGTCGCGTGTCCGACCCATATAATTTTCGACATCCTGACATGGGGCAGCGTCATTGATCTTCGGTCATCGGCACTCGACCACCATCTTTCCGTCTGACTAACGCTTGATATTTTCAGGACGGTGTCATCAGCAACGACAAGATTTTGCAGCTGTCGACTGGCGACTTCCGCTCAAAAGTTCTCTCCTTTTATTTCTTGCGTAACGTTCTTCAAAGTTGTTGTAAATGATTTTAGAAGGCTGGTATTAACCTCACTCCACATCAGTAATAAAAGTAACCAGATTTCATTTTCAAAGTGACTGTGAAGTTTATGATTCCGATGAGCAAGGTGTCTTTGTTATCCAAAGTATCCATAGCTCGTTCTGTCCCAACGACAAGATGGAGACTGTTTTTTTGAGTGAACTGAAGTGAAACAACATAACGTTCGTGCATTCACGATGACCCAGTTAGGATCCTTGTCATGAGAGTATGACATATTATGATAAACGTTTTTAGAAATCTTGATTGCTTGCATGGCTCTCCTTTGCTCATTGTTCTTTCAGTTACTTCGAGTGAAGACTTTGTAGGCAACAGACAGCAGGCGGATTGGACGAGTTGCCGATGAGGTGCTGGTCTCGTGCATCAACACGGTTTTGCTGATCTTCCTTTAGTTAGGAAATATGGACAACAACATATGACGTGCGAAGAACTGAGACAACGTGTTGATGAGAAATAGTGGGAAGTTCCACAGATGTTCGTGTATAATCCTATTCGAACCAGATGCTGTACTGTTGGTCATGGACTCATGAAGATAAATAGCTGGTACGAATTCAACGGTGGGGATGGGAGATTCATATTTCTCAGCATGATGCGGACTAGAGACTTTCTAGAAGTAGTGAGCGCTCCATTAGGGAATCAGTTAGACATCATCTTGGTTTTCTAATAGAAGAACTCCCGTAATGTGTTACAGAATCATTTTTCAACTCTTACTGCTTTGACTAATAGTGCCAATTTTCGCTAGTAAAGGATTTCTTTTATCGCTGCCTTGCAGACAGGCTCCGATGCAGGTCTATCTTGTGACCCGCACAACCTTAGACTAACTTGCAAGTTAGTCAGCTTTTGGAGGCAAACGTTTTGATGATTTTCATACTCTTCGCATTCTTTGTAGTGTGTGTGGCGAATCTGTTGAGTGAACTGACTGCGTTCCTCACCAACCATACCTCACCTTCACCGAAATTGTTGGTTGTAACATTTTGACTGGTGATAATCCGGTCAATCTCTCATTTTCCACCAAGCGACGCCGTCAGACGTCAGCTGAAAATCCTCTACAGCTATGATTTACGATATATGATCGTCATGAAAACTCAAAAGCTATTCACTTCATTGATCCGACTTCAGTTCGTGAAGTATTGACATCGAATTGTTCAGAAAGCGATTGATACTATAAAGATAACTTTGACCACATATGTTCGACAATGAACATCCGATTCAGGTCGAGGAATCGATATTCGTGGTTTGATTCTGTTGACGTTGGGATAATGCCCCTCCTTATCGATTGAATTCAGTAATGTCCTATTTGATTTTTCTTGGCTTGCAGAGAAGCTTTTGATACTGCTATGCATACGTTCAACTATAGATATCTACCACAGTCCTTCATATTTAAGCTGCTTGGTCGATCCTTTCAAATGCTTCACTTCTACGAACCCTTGCTTCAGCAAGGGAACAGGGCGTTTATTTAACCGATTTCTGAGTCATATGAAGTTTTTGCATTCTTTCCACGCACGAGACTAAATGTACTAATCAGTGACATTCTGCACAATACCGCGTTGAAGGTGGGTCTGAAAGTTTGCACTGGGGGCCACTATAAACAACCTCCTAACTCTTGTATCGTTCATCTGATTGCACGCTGTTAGCCAGATCGAAGAGCAGGGTATTACATGCAAGCAAACCCGCCTACGTATTCATGAATGCGTCTATACTTAGATGGTACATTCTCTTATGATGTGAGCACACCAACACATCCTCCAATTTGATCAAGTATAGTTTACCCTCAAATCCCATGAAACTCATATTGAGAGGTCTGCAACTCCTTGGCACAGGAAGTTGCAAGCACTTCCTAGTCGGGAGGAGGTTTGTTGCGTTGTTAAATGAATCCAGTGCAGCACAAACGGAAGGATCGCCTGCTCAGGATCGATGAGGAAGTACACTGTCACTTTTGATTTATGTCTAACCATACTTGTGAAGCAACAATAACCTTATGATAAGCTAACCATTATCTCTCATATCAAAGAGTTCCATTCATTTTCGAAAAGATGAAGAATTTCTCCTTCATGTATTTCGAACTGTTTGGTTGACAACAGCTTAAGGAAGCAAAATTGTCACCACACCATGTCCACTATAAGCCTATCTTTATTTTACCACCTTAAGAAAACAGAACAACGAGATGAGATAAACAACTAGTAATAATAAAGAGCAATTTTTTGTTAATGGAAAGATCCAGTTCCCTTCGGATTTATATAATATTTCTAGCCTTTTATTTCACCTGCGTCTCATAGAACAGTAAGGAACAGAAGTCCGTGCATAAAGATAGCTTCAAACAGACGCTTAACACGACTGTTATACAACTTCTACAGGAACCAGGGAGAGCCTAACATATCTCGTGAGCTTCTAAAGAGCCAGAATTTTAGTGCAAGCAATAAATATACACGTATCAAAGTCATGACCAAATCAACAAAGCATCACAATCAGGAATGCTAGGCCAATGACTAACCGGTGACTAGTATTCAATTGTAAGAACTCTTCGCTTATGATTTGCCTATTCACGACCTTGTACGGGTTACTTGGTATGCTCAAAGTACTGCTGAGCTCCTTGAAGACTACCATTGACGTTGTCGTAGTTGTCGTTAGATAGGTAGTTGAATGGGCATAGCTTGTAGCTATGGTATCGTTTGCTACGAGTTTGGTGGAAGAACCAGTAAACTGACATCCTGGCATGAGGGTGTGTGTGGTGTCCTTGAGGACTCTATATATGACACGCCAAGCTGACAGCCCGCATTCCTGCTTGATTGGTGCCTTTACGCAACCAGAGAAGAAGTTGAGCGCCCTGAAAAGGGTGTTATATTTCACTAAAAGAGAGTAAGTGATCGAACCATAGCACGCATTACTGTATTATTTACAACTAGGACTCTTCAATGAGGTTTTGGCTAGGAGTGATGATTCCTTTCGATCGCAAAAGTACAAATCTACATCCCATAATTTGTGCATGTGGAGTATTTGGTATTAAGATATGGAAAATGGAAATTTCGACAGAACAGCAGCAACACACCTACACATCCGATCAAGTTTGACCTCCATGGCGATGTTGGCTTCGACGTTAGCCGTTTCTATCTCGAGTAGCGTCTCATCATGGCATTGTTTCACCGTCGACTTGCGGTCCAACTCCATCAGACATTCGGCTGACTCCATGAATGCTGTGATATCAGCGAATATCTACACCCTCATAGTATGTGAGAAAACGAACACAGGCAAAGCCACCGTTATTTATTCTTTCACTTAATTTGGGATTTATTCCACCCTACTGTGTTTAAACTCATATTTTTCAATGGATGCTGTTCGTAGAGTCTCCATTAGATCTTCTCGGTCTTTTCAAGTTTTGGAACAGTTCTCGATGTTTCATAACATTTGGAGTGCTCACTCTCTAGAACTACAATCGCAAAGAGTTCCCAGGAAGATAGCTTTTCTAAAAGTTCCGAATTTATCACATAAAGCTCAAGATGCATGAAGTGCAATACATTCAATTCATATATAATTTCCGCTTTCAGTATCAAACGAAAGCATCTCGGCTCGTCCTCAACTTCAGCAGTAGGAATGAAAACCGTTGGAATTTACTAAGCCTTTCCTAAAAGCTTTAAGTGTTTTATTCTACTAAAATGCAATTCCAACTTCCTAGACTCTATGACACACAGTTCTTTCGTTTCTTGGATCAAGGCTGATATTTCGAAAACGAAAGCAATTGAACAACCGGTATTCCACCCGCCAGATACGGTGGTGTTCCCTAATGTGTCATTCATAGCAGCAGCCGTTAAAATTATGTTGGAAATTCAAAAATGAAAAACTAAAGCTCTGTCCTTTACATTTCTAGAATTTTCTTTCTAGACATATTTAAAATGAAACGAATACTGTACAGAATCAAAAATAGGAGTAATGTGACAGAACGAAGTTCCTTCTACACATATGTGAAGCCTCCATGAAATGTTCCC